CATCGGAAAGTCAATGTATAGTTTGATGCAATTGTGGTGCTTGTTACATTTGCAACTTTCCTTCATGTTCTTCACAGCTTTCTTAAATTGCATTGACTCCACTTTTAGTATCTGTTCATTTGAGTCACCCAATGACTTTGGAATTTTATTTTTATGCATGCTACTTGACAAAGTCAACCAAAATGATAGGTTTTCCCTCGGCATGAAGATCCATTTTAACAGTAGTTTTTTTTTTATCTAACATTGAACAATAAAAATGGAATCCAACACATTAACTAATACTAGTAGCGAGGAAAAAGATTCTATGAACTTTTTTTCTTTTATTTTGCATTTTTTTTTTTTAGTTTCTTGTGAGTTGCCAGAGATGTTTAATGGATGCTCCGAAGAAGATGATTGTTAACAACATTGAGCTTGAGTCTGGCGCTTTTTCTAACTAGGTGAAATATGCGAAAATTTTTTACATGTGAAATTCTTCATAGATGTGAAATTAAAAACTTACTGGAAAATCCAACAGTCCCTAAAGTGGAAGAAGATGGAGAAGCCTAGTAACACATTTGAAGGTGTTTGTTTCTTATTCGTATTAACTATGAATGATAACAAAATTAAACTTTTTTTAGTTAATTTCAAATCATAAAATATTTATTTTTAATCAGTGTATTACGAAAAATGTGGGTTTAGGGTGTGGATATATTATTATCTTTTCTAGTAATACCACAGTTTACCATGGAGTAACAAAGGAGCCATTTCGAAGTGCCCAAGCAAAAGCACAAAATCAAGCACAGACTAAAGCTCTGGAAATTTAGGAGTGGAGTGATTTTCCTTGTTATGGTGAATGTGATTCTTCCATTCAGCTGACTTTTTTATCTGATACCAAAAAATGATTCTAAAACTTATTAATTAGAAAATCAGTTATTTTGAATTCAGATTTTCCTCTTTTTTTTTTGTAAAAAAAAAAAGCTAAATCAGTAATTTTGCTCTTTTGACAGCTTTTTGATATTTTGAATGTTTAGTAGTTTAATGATTCAATTCATGCTCATATTTAGTAAGATGAGACCTTGATCGTATTTTATTTTAATTTAATATTTTACACATTTTAACAATCTCAGGGTCCATAGCTCAGTGGTAGAGCATTTGACTGCAGATCAAGACGTCACCGGTTCGAACCCGGTTGGGCCCTTGCGGACACCGCGTTTTTACCATTAATTTTGTTCCATTGTTATTTGTTAGTAGCCATAATACCTTGTGACTGAAATTTACGCTGAATCAAAATTTCTTTGGGAAAAATTAGCAAAAAAAATAAAAAATGTTTTTTTTCCATTTTCCTTCTTAATGAATGCATGAGGAAAGATTTTGGTACGTTACATTACACACGATAAATCAAACTGCACAAAGAATACTGAATAACAAAAAGAAAAGCACAAAAGCCTACACTCCTGTATTTCACTCAGAATCAGGAACAACTAATTCAATGCCATGATGGAGTGGAGAACAATGCTGTTGTATGGCTGAACTGTGGAATTGCATGTAATAATCTCTTCTTAAATGAAGTTCTATTGTAAAGGGATTTACAGTTTATCCATGATCCTTCACTTTTGTCCAGCAGTTTTGCTCCTCTTGGCTTCTTGAGTTGCACCTTCCTTAAGAGCTGTTTGAGCTTCATTCTCCATTCCAAGAGCAGCCAGGGCAGCAGCCTGAAGATAGGACGCTACATGCCATACAGGGGAAATGACTTGAGCTTGCATTGCATCATTTAAGGCTTCCTGTGGCATGTCGTTGATGAGATAACACAAACTACGCCGTGCGAAAACCGTAGGAGAAACCATGGTTCCCACATTAATAAACTGCTAGTCAAAAAAAGAATATGTCAGCAGGAATCTTAAAACACTACAAGAAAGTGAAACACAAAACAGCCATCTAAGCCAAATGGATAGGATGGCCATGGAGTAGATAACAACACAATGCAGTCATAAAAGGGTCAAATCAGATTCTATTCCATGTTCTGTACACCACATTGTCCCTTAGATTGGGATGTCGTCTCTTAAAAACAAATCGTACTCCAAATGCCCCCCTATAGGTAAAAGATTGTTTCACAAATAACTAATACTAGTATGTGATCCAATGAATAAACCATTATGTTCTTCAAATCCATCTAACATAAGAAAAGAAAAGGACCCAAACCTGTGTATAAGACTCAATTGCTTCCCTGAAATCTTTTTGCCGGAAAGCTGTATCACCTTTTTTCTTTGAATTTAAGGTTTCCTGCATTTGGTCTGTCCACATTTGGAAGGAGAGCTGCAGCATAATATGACAAGAAATGTTTCAATAACAATGATAAACAGATTTGTCTGCATGTTGGACAGACCAACATGCTATTTAAGCAAGGAAATATACCATGTTTTTAATTCAAACAGACCTCATTTGCCACTCCTTCATCGTCTTTGTACCCAAGATTCTCTAACATCTCATGTATAGCAGTCAGGTCCCTTCTTGAGCAAGCCCCACCAAGAGGGGATAGAGAAGAGAAAGAAACACTGTGAGGGATACCCATCAAGACATGAGAAGGAACCTGAAAAGGACAGAAAAAGAAATTCAACAAGAGCAATTTTTCTCAGTTCCTTTTGGCAATCTTTAGACTTGGAACTGCCCTGAATGAACCAAATTTCATTTGATAAGCCTCAAGACAAAAATAAGAAGCTGTAGTTAAATGAAAGATGAGCTTGAAAAAGATCCAAATTATGTAGTATGAGATAAATCAACTAACAATTCAAATGGCCTTTGACATCCATTTGTTCTGATAACTTTTATAGGTGTTAAAAAAACACGACCACATTTTTGCACTGGGAACATAATTGTATGCTGGTATTCTGAGCAGCAGAAAACAACTTGCCTCTGTTTCCTTCTGAAGAGGTGCCAAAGCAGCAACTAATGATTTTGGATTTGGCCGTTCTCTAGGCTCATATTGTAAACACCGAGAAGCTAAGCGTACAAGCTCAGTCCCATCATCATCTGAAAACTGTCCTTCCAAGCAGGAATCCGTCAACATCTGAAGATTTCTGTCCCGTATCAAGTCAAGAGCCTGGTACAAATTACTTGAGCATTAGAAATCTCTTTTCTTGATCATTTGGGTTAGGAATTGAACTTGAGATCTCTTTCTCTAGAGAAGCACCCTGATTATTGACTTAGCTACATTAAGCAATAAAAACCATGATTCAAAAGACCACAATGAAAATTTTCTGAAAAATAACAACTTACATGACTGGGAGGGATGTGCTTGCCACTAAGAAGATCAAGAAGAAGGGTGCCAAAGCTATATATTACACTTTCTGATGTTATTCTTCCTATATCACAAAGGAAAGCAATGCAAAATGAAAACTTTCATCTGAAATAAGAAAAATTAGTGGTAAAACAATCAAGCATCTGTTTGAAGCCATAGCATGCAAAGAAAGTAGTTCCTCACAACCTTAATCTTTGAACTACTTACAATCAGCCGTTCAGATTCTTATGAAGAAAGAAAAAGCTAGTTATTTAGATCCATAGATAATATAGATAGTTATTAACCATGCAATGTTAAAAAGCCATAAGCTTACAGAACACTTATAAAGGGGGGGAAAAAAAACTATTTTTGTTGTAAATTACATACCAGTTCTCAGATACTCGGGTGGAGTAAATGCCAAATTCGTACTATAACTTTTTCCATCCCTACTATTTTTCATCAGGCCAAAGGTTGAGAGCCTTGGATTTCCATCCTACAAGATTATAATATATAAATAGGGAATGCACACAAGATTAATCAACCAAGACTTTTCGCATAACAGGAGTTACATAACACTTTACCTCATCAAATAAAACTCTATAAGCATTAAGGTCATGATAAAGGGCACGCCCTTTGTTTGTGCAGTATTCTAGAGCTTGTGCAAGATGGAGTACAACCCTTAATCGCATTGCCCATTTCATTGGTTGTGTTTCCCCTGATTACAGAAAGTACTTAAATTAATGTAATCTATAATACATATTTTTGAAATCGTCCTATGGGCACGTATTCCAATTTCCAAGCCATTGCAATAAGGATAATAATAGTGATACATTTAATACTCTGCCTATTAAAATCTGATACTTTCAAACTGAAAATGGACCACCAGATGTATTTAATTAGTTTGAGAAATGTAACAAAACCTGAAAGATAATTAATGACTCAAATCAATCTGTGCAGTGTATTTGTTTCAAACTTAAATCCAAGGTCGAATTATTAGGAGTGGCATCTAGATTAGATCCTACCGCTTGACTTCATATTATTAGATGCCTGAAAATTGTCAATAAAAGCATTGATTAGGACTGAAGCTTACAATGAAATAGGTGTTTGGCTAGTGTCTCATTGGGCATGTATTCTGCCACAAGCAATCTCTCATCACCTTCATAGCAACAGCCAAGCAGATTTGCCAATTTACCATTGCGTAGCTGGCCAACTGATCTTGCTTCTTCCTGCAAATCATGAAGAAAAAAGCATGACTTGTGTGGACCAAAACAGATGCATTTCTCCAAGCAGATCATTAACAGGAGAAGGAAAGACCATCCTTCACTGATATATATTGAAGAAGTAAACAAACTTATAAATATGTGAACTAGAAAATACAGACTAACAACTAGATACAGAATTCTAAGCAGAAAAAATATATATATACCAAAAACTGGCGAGCATCCGGCCAAGCCATTCTATTGAACCGTTTAACAGCAATTCTTCTCTGATTCTCCAATTTTCCTTTATAAACAACATTTGGAGCCTTCTCTCCATGCTCAGATACAATGTTCTCTACCGCAAACCCAGATGTGGCATTCTTAAGCTGCTCCAAAGTGAATTCTTGAAAGACAGGCAAGTTATCAACCTCACCCTTCTCTTCATTCTCTGCAACAAGAAACAAGAACACACCAATCAATCTATAAACGACCACAAAAAGAAACAGCAGCAGACAAATCATTTCTAAATTCTACCCACCAACATCCGGCACTTCGAGCACTGCTGCGTTGAACTGGGAATTCCAGCAACATGCTGGGAGCTTAGAACACTGACACCCCATGTCCGTAGTATCACAAAATCCAATCTTTCTTATCAAAAACCTGTCCAAGGAGTATCAATTGCACACCCACTGCATTCAATTCATCTATAGACCCAAAAATGGAAATTTGAAGAGAATCAAAAGGGGTGAATGTAATAGACGTCCCAAAAATAGGAAATAAAGAGAAAAATTAAAACCTGAAAAAGCGCTTCTCCTTTTCGAGTCAACCAAATCAGCCTGAATTCCGAAAAAAATCCCCCAACCTCGATCAATTCAAACTGAGAATTCCCCCCAATCCTTATTACAGGATCCACATTCTCGTCCGCCGCAATCCAATCGAGATTTTGAGATTCCAACAAAAAAAAAAAGTAGTAATTTCCGAAAACCGAACAAGAAGGGAAAGATTCAAATCTGAATCGATAACAACAACATCAACATCAGCGAAAGCGAGAGAGGAGACACGATCAAAGTAGATGGAAGTGGGGGTGGTTGTTTTTAAGTTGAATAATTTAAGGAAATTCCTATTCAAAGTACTGGGAATAGAGTAGAACCGGAATCGGGTAATTATTTTAGTTTAAATTAATTTTTTAATGAACAAAATGTTGGGAATAATTATTGAAGAAGCAAAAAAAAAAAAAAAAAATTGATTTTGTCTTTATTGTTGGGAGTACTATTTATTTATTTATTTTATAAATTTGCGCCGATTGAATTTGATGGGACTGAAACAGAAACAGCGTCTGGTCATCATTCCTTGCCGCGCGCCGTAATCATTTGATTTTTTTTTGGGAGTTTAATTATGAAAAACGGTGGGAGTTTATGAAAAATTGAAAACGCGTCTTCTGGGATTTCTGGTTTTTCTACGGACACCGTTGGCGGCGGCGGCGGCGACAATTCAAGATGTCGGTCAGAGTTGAAAAAGTAAAATGTTGCAAATTGCAATAAAATTTGGATATGAATTTCGTCATTAAATTTATGGGAATATCATTTTACCGTTTAAATCATGTAAAATGGTAAAATAAAAATTATTAAATACGGTCAATATTAAAGAGCTGAATTTTTAATGTAGTTTAGTATTGTTTGTATAATATATTTTGAATAATGATAAAGAAAATTAAAATTTAAAGTTAAATTTTTAAGATTAACGATATAATATAAATTATTTTGTTTAAAATATTAAAATATCATTTTTATATCATTTAATAATTAATTTTTTAAATTCACAAAATTATATACATAAATTAATTTAATCATATAATTTATATCATATTATTAATTTTAAATTTTTGTCCTTCTTATCATTATTTATATGTTTTATTTAAAAATATGAATTTTTAAAATTCTTAAATTGAATAATAAATTTTTACTTTTTTAATTTAAAATAAAATTCTATTATTTTTTATTTGAAGATTTATTGAATACTTAATTTTTATTTGTTATTTTTAATTCTTCAAATATGATAATTATTCATTAATTTTTAGTTATTTGATATAACATAATTTAAAATCAAAATAAAAAATTAATAACAATATCAAAATGAAATAAAAATAAATATCTTGATTAATTGATCTTTTGAAATGTTACAATCCTAGAGGAAAGATGACCAATGCATGTGAATTTTTCTTTCTCTCCATAACTTAGTTTGAATTTTTTTTTTTTTTGACAAGAAGACTTTTGTGTGAATGTAATTATATAAGCAAGTATTTTACATGTAGGCACTAACATTGATATTCCTCTTTTTAACCTTAGAGAAAAAAAAAAAAAAAAAAAAAAAAAACTGCTATTTAGACACTATGCCGGATTTCAGCTTGAGATATTGTTTTAGAAGCTTGACAAAACTAATCATTAATTTTAGAATGGAAAATGGAAAATCAAAACATTTTAATATTAAAAATATCAATATACATAATAATAATTATATGATTAATTTTATAGAATTAATATTTATATTTTTTTACATATTTAATAATTATAATTATAAATTAATATTTTTAATGTTCAGAAGGTCTTGATTATTTTTTGAAAAAAAAAATTGGTGGATTGGGAAAAAGACAAAACTTTGGGGCAATTTTGTTTAAAAAAGAAAAGAAAATGGAAAACAAATGTGAAAATCATGGGAGTTAAGGTTTTAGGCCACACGAAGGCAGAGGCGTCGGTAGGATAATTCATTTCGTGTTCCCTGCGCGGCACAAGTGATATTTATTAGTAGTAGAAAAATGTCGACAAAGAATAATTTGGCAAAGAGAAAAAAAGCAGCACGAATTCGATCTTCAGAGTACTTACATCTTCACAACCCCATTCTATGTTTCTTTAATTTGTGCTGATTGATTTGAGACTATATATGTAATTTACTTTGGCAAATCAGGAGAGAAGCAAGAGAGGGAGAAGAGGGCCAAGTAGTTTCAAGCAAAGGAAAATAAGATGAAAGTAAGTATCTTTACTTCTCAATTAATCCCTCACCTCTCTGATTCTCAGTGGGGTGAAATTTTTAGCTTTCTGGGTATTACAGTGGAAATTGTGAAATGGGAAATTTGATTTCTTACTTAATAAGATGAAAGTAAGTATCTTTACTTCTCAATTAATCCATCACTTCCCTGATGCTCAGTCAGTGGGGAGAAATTTTTAGCTTTCTGAGTATTAAAGGGAAAATTGTAAAATGAGAAATTTGATTTCTTGCTTGTTTTGTGCCGATTGGCGTCTTTGATTGTTGGATTGTTAAATTTGATTTGTTTTTTTGTTTAGGTGGATGGTAGTGAGAAGAAGAGGAAGGGTGGAAGTGGGTTTCAGGTAGGGAAGAGAAAAGTGAAGACCAAGTTGACAGCAGTGGCAAAAGCTAAAGCTGCACAGGCAATGTAGCTTGACAAATGAGGTTCATGTTGAATCCCTGTAGCTGCAAGTGGAAAATTATTGAGCCATTTTGTTTTCGTATTCATAGTGGCAATATGCCTTTTGTTTTTGTGTCTTTGTCAGTCCAAGAAAGTCCAACGTTAGCCTGATAACTATGATTCTTGTAATGACAAAATCATTTCATGCTTATAGATATCATTCTCTTGTGTTGTTGGAGATAATCTGCATATTAGCTTGAAATCATTGGATGGTGTGGAAGTATATATATGCTGCTCGTTTTGGGATAATGTACTTTTCACTACCACATTATGATTTCATGTGTTATTTAATATGTGCCATGTATATCTCTTATAGTAGTATTTATTTTCTTCAATAAAACTTAGGGAAATATATATATATATATATATATTCATGAGCTGGAAAATATTGAATCTTGTGACACAATAATTCTTGATAACTATGATTCTTTTGAGGACAAAATCATTTCATGCTTATACAGATATCACTCTCTTGTGTTTTTGGTTCATATTTAACAAGTTTCCTTTTGGAGATAATCTGTATGTTAGCTTGAAATCATTAGATGGTGTGGAAGTATATATATGCTGTTCGCTTTGGGACACTGTACCTGACCTCTGTGGCTTTTGTGGTCACCACCACATTGACATTATGATTTCATGTTCTATGTTGTATGTGTTGTTTATATCTCTTTATAGGAGTATTTTATTTTCTTCAATAAAACTTATATATATATTCATGAGCTGGAAAATACTGGATCTTGGGACACAATAATGCTTCCATCACCTTATTCTATCTTCTGGTCAGTGATAGGTGGTTGGCAAGTCTGTAGATTGTCGCAAAAAAGGTGCGTTTTATGCTAGGGTCCAGTAATTCAACTGTTTGTGAAAGATGTAAAGCTGGAAATGTAGCTTTGTCTTCTAACTTTTTGTGCATTGTGGAGCATAGAGGATCTTATTGCCGGATTTGGCTGCTAAAGAGTTCTTGAATGTGTATGCTAAAAAGAAATGCTCACATGGTCACACCAATAAGAAAATCTCCAAGTTTAGAGTTGCATATTTTCAGGGCTCACTCATTGCCTATAAGCATGCCTGCCGTTGCTTGGTGATGCATAATGTATTGTTACCCTTTTCGTTTGTTGCCCTTTTTGTTGACAGAGTAAATTGAATTACTAAAGCAAGTTTTTGTATGTTTGATTGTGTGGTTTTTACCAGTGTCTGAGCAGAATGTTAATATGGGATTCAAGTGAGATTATGAGGAAGCACTGTCCTGAATCCCTGACATGTAGAAATTTTGGCTGTCTGGGCCTGCTGTACTACAAGACCAGAACGCAATTCAAGTCTAGTCCCTACATCTGTTAAGCGTTATAAATGTAGGCCATGACACTGGAATAAGTCGTCACAGGTCCACATAAGGACCACGGCTACAGTGTGAAACAGTGACTTTCCCCCCAGGGAAAATGGATGGGAAAACCCAACTAAACCCTGCGTGATGCATTGACGCCAACAACCAAGTCTTTGAATGTCATTTTCTTCATCATCTCTCAAGACTTTGTCAAAACTAGCTGTAAATTACATGTTTTATTGCGCTTCTTTCGCTAAATTTATGCTTGCAGAGTCGATTAGTCCACCTTTGAAATTGTCTTGTTAGTTTGATTTGGTGCTAATTGCAGACTACAGGGAAATGGAAGATTTTTAGATACTTAATTAGGAGTTGAGTCAAAAAATTGGTACTGTGAGTGCCGCATTGTCAAAGGGTATGGTCCCGGAGTTCAAATTTTGTGGCTTTGTGTTTTTCAATTTTCAATCTTCTCTTCTGTTTCCATTGGCTTCCGCCCCTTTAATTTAAGGGCAATCTTCTACTTGTCATTGTCCAAAAACAAGTAATAAAAATAACTCTTTTTTGGGAAAATATAAATTTGGAGAGGTATACATATAACGACGTGACTGGAAAAACAGACAGTATAATCAAAACCTTGTCACTTTTTTTTTTTTTTAATGTATAGGTGTGTTTTTGAGTCAATTTTTACTTATTTTAGCATTAATTTTTTACTAAAGGATATAAAGAATGTATCCTCAAATTGGCCTAATATTTTTTAAAAAACTAATTTCTTTAGGTATTAATCTTAAAATGTAAAATAAAACTTAATGATGAAATGACACTTATTTATTAATAAATCTAAAATTTTATCAAAACCTTATCCACATAAATTATTACTAGAAAATTAGAGTGTAGATACATATACACCATTTTATCTTTTAAAAAAAAATAATCATATAACATTAAATGAAGAAACACATGTCAACTTCACACATTTATTTGTATCAATCACAAATTTGGAATGCACCAAACCTTATGGGCCACTTAATAGATGAATCCAATGCCTTGACGATAATTAAGATATAAATTATGATATTGTTATATTATAATTTTTCATCACCTACCCTAAATTGTGGTATTTAAAAAAAACAATCACAAATACAATTTCTTCACACAGATCAAGTGGTTTACCACTTAATTGTTTATGAAAACACCTCTCAAGTTAAAAGTTTGAGTCTTTAGTAATCCACTTCTCAATTCCTCCACTAGTAGAATATGTTTGATTGTAATTTGTTTAAAAAAAATCACAAATACATAGTACCATAATGTAAAATTATAAAATTCTGTTGCAAATAAATTATTTTTCTTAAAAGGATCAGTTAAAAAAAAGAAAAGAAAAGAGGAGGATGTTTTGAGATTTGAGTATGTTGTATTGGCAGCATGGTAACATAGGAAGGGCTTTGGCAACTGGTTGGTCTCATTATCTTTGCAATTGCTATATTAATATTATTATATGGTGCGATCTTGTCTGAGGTAATCTATCGATGTCTAGTCAACATCACATATTTAATTATTGACAAAAATAAAAAGAAGCATTATTAATTTACATAAAAACGATGTTTGTTACTAACTACTTAGTATTTTCCAAATAAAAAAAAGTATCAAACCAATCCCACAAGTATACTTGTTTGTGTTTGGCACAATATTTTATTAACAAACGTGAAGCAAGTCAACCTTATTAATATATAATTACACATTGGAGTCGACCCTCCCATCATTAAAATAAAAGTGCTTTCTAAAATTGGAGCATAGCAGTATATATATATATATATATATATTTTTTTTTTGGGTTTGGATGACTCGATATCCAAAAATTTATTGAATCATCTATTAATCTGGATTTGATTTAGATATGATCTAATGGATGATAAAACTCTCTTTTATAAGTTTTAACGAAACTAACATTTATAAAATTTAAAATAAAATTTTTTAATTAAACAAAAAAATTCTCCTATCAATTTATCCACCATTCATGAATTAGCAGTATAATTTTTGTTTGCAGCTATTTGAAGCCTCAATTATTAAAAATGTGTGTAGTAAACTTTAATAATATGTTTAGTTTTGAAGTGCCCTGCGACAGTTGTACACCAAGTGGGGGAAAGTGACTTTCCATGGGGATGGGGATGTTTCTCTCCATGCAATAAATGCATCCAAATTATTCAAATCTCTAGAGAGCCCTTTTTTTTTTTTTTCTTTTTTTTCTTTTTTTGCTATTTCTCGTCAAACATGGTGGCCTTTCTTAGCTCTTTCTCAAAACTCAGTAAAAGTTCAAAAACATAGCTTGATATTGTGAAGGGATTATTGTTATTATATACTACTTTCTTGTTAGGAGAGACTTCTCTATTGAAGGTTGAACGATTTTGTACCCATCTCTTCTAATTTAAAGGAACATGGTAAGTTTTCCTCGGGCATGACTACAAATTGTGTGCTTTTTA